CCTCAATAAACTTCAGTGGCTCCCTATCACCTCCAAGATCAAATGCAAAATCCTGTTTGGTATTCAAAGACCTTCGTAACCTTGTTCCTGCCTACCTTTCCTGTCTTCTTACATCTTATTCCCCTTCAAGTACTCTCTGACTCAGTGACACTGCCACCCATGCTGTTCCACAAACAAATTATTCCATTTCTAGTCTCCAGGCATTTTCTCTACGATTGGAAGCATTCTCCGTCCTCATCTTTGCCTGCTGGATTCCGAAACTTCCTTCAAGTCGCAATTAAAATCTCATCTTCTGTATGAAGCCATTCTCAATTCCTCTTAATTCTCGTGCTTTTCCCTCTCTCAATTATTTTTAATTTATCTTATATTTAGCTTGTTCATACGTGTTTGTTGGCTTGTTGTTTCCTCCATCAGAGCTTCTTCAGAACAGGAATGGTCTTTTCCCTCTTTTCATATCCACAGACCTTAGCTCAGTGCTTGGAACATAATAGGTGCTGATTTATAGTAAATGTTTATCAATTGGCTGTCCGACTAATGGAAGAGCCTTCTGGAGTTTTTGACCAGGCAAAACAGATGGACAATCTGGGAAGTTAATCAGAGCCTAGGAGTAGCTGGGTAAACTACAGTGATAGTAATGATAGCTAAATGATTTTCCTAAAACATAGGTCTACTATGTCACCCCTCTAACATTTATATAACACTTAAAGATTTGGAAAGCACTATATAAATTTGTATACACATAGGAATTATTATATATCATATGTGTGATTATATATCATATATCTGTGTATAATCTCATTTAGTCCTCATAATAACCTTGTGAAATAGATGTATTATTATTCCCCATTTTACAAATGAAGATACTGATGCTGAGAGAGGTTAAGTGACCTTCCCGGAGTGACTGATACAAAATGTGACATCAGGTCTTCCTGACTCCAAGTCTGGTCTGGCATTCTGTTGTCTATGTTGGAAAGTGTTAAACCATAAAACTCCAGTGGGAGCAAGAATCAGATTAAAATGTAACCAGGAAATGTTTAAGAAAATGAATAAAAACACAATACAATGTAATGTTAATTTGTGGGTTTTTTTAAGTAAATGTACAGCCTGTAGTGATCTGTTTCTATTTGAGTTTGATGCTACTTCATTACACCATCTAGTTGTGTCTATGAGTAGCACCTGAGAGAAGGGACGGCAAGACCTAAATGCAGACAGCACGACCAGGAGCGACATAGGGAGAGAAAGCCTGTAAGAAGGAAATCCTAGACACAGCCTCAGCCCTTCACTGGACTCTTCAGCAACAAGGCCATGTAACTTTGGCTGTGCACCTCCCCTGTCAACACATGACGACTCTGGGAGAAGCTTAGCTCCCAAGATACTCTGGAGGGTGGCAGTGAGAGAGAGAAAGGGACAAACCTTGGACTCATTTCAGAATGTGTGTAAATTCTCTTCAATTACTGTTTACTTTTTGCCCCCAATTAAACGTTTTATTGTTTCAATGCTGCTTCCTTTACTGAGTTTGTTAGCATGACAAGCCAGAAGCCAAGGCTGGTAACTCGCCATTAGCAGTTCCCATAATTCAAAATTGAGTATATGAGGGGATTTTAGCTCACATTTCTCTCCTTTACATATTCTAAATTGCAGCCAAACTGAACTTATATTTTGCATGACATCTCCAGCCTCCATATATTTGTACAAGCTGTCTGGAATGTATTCCCTCATGTACTCCTCCCAGAGTCTTTATCTTTCCTCATGCCTCAACTCAGGTACCAACTCCTCAAGGCAGCTTTCCTTAATTCTCCCAGGTGTTAATGGTCTTTCATTAGATTCCCTTATATTTATTTATCTGAGCATAATCTGTACCAGACCTGCACAATTTAGCAGTAGGTAGGGGCCAAAATTAAAATAAGCTAAACTTCTTCGGGCCACAGATAGGTCAGACTAGAGATGGCCCAATGATGGTTGGTTGCCACAGGTCATGTGACAAACAGGAGAGTGCGCAGTGGCAACCCAAAATTTTTCCGGAGCTGCCAGAAATCCTTTGGCCGGCCATAGGTAGCCCACAGGCCATATATTGTGAAGTACATCCCAGTAGATTCTAAACTTTTTGAGGTCAGGGTCTTTTTTTTTTTCCCTTCGGAACTCAGTGCCTAGCATAGTGCCTTGCACACACCATGAGCTTAAGTGAAGGTTCTATTCAGTGTAACACAGCTGGAACCTCTGGTCCTATGCACACATTCTTAGGTAAGCTTCTACACAATTGCTCCTAAAACTTTTCCGTATTTCTTACTTCTTTCCTCATTATTCTCATTCATCCTGAGCATCTTGAGAAAAAATTAGGATCTCACCCTGAAGGTTAACAGTTTATTCCCTCCAGCTGCAGACTAGATTCTTCTCCCTGCCCCAGACCACCCCCACGCTCTGGCCAAAGAAGTCAGAATCTTTGTGTAAAATCCAGCTCCACAAGATTTGATGTGAAATGAGGTTTATTTAAGAGCATTTAAAAATTGATCAAAACCGTCATTAAAATACTGGTACATATGGTACATTTCTCATTAGATATTTTCAGTGTCAATCAAGAGAGAATAATCTCACAATTTATTTTGTCCTGTTCCAAATTAGCCCCAAGGCTATTTAAATGCATCACAAAACCAAATCTGCCTGACTGACAGAGTGGCAGCAGCCCAGAGCACATTCATAATGCATATTCCAGCTCCAGGAAAAGACAGTAGAAACTAAATGACAGAAAGGTTCATGTTTTCCTTGTAGCATTCTCAGGAGGTCACTGCAGTAGACTAGGGGAGGGGAAGGTAAAAGGAGGAGACAAGTTAGTTAGGTGGAACAGCTAAAATGGCCATGGTCCAAATCCCACATTTGTGTTTAGATACTCTTTATATGATTTTCCATATGAATGGATAGACTACCCAACTGTAATGCTATCAAAGACAAAATCATACTCAATATGGAAAATTCATCTTAGCAACCCACCTTGGGTTTGTCACAGCTCTTATAGTTTAGAATCATAGCTAGAGAGTGTGGGGGCTACAGCACTGAACTTGGAGTCAGAAAGACCTGAGTTCAAATCTTATCTCAGACATGGAATTTGCTATGTAATTCTGAACAAGTCATTTAACTGTGCTCCTCCTCAGTTTCCTCACCTGGGAAATGGCGATGATATTAGTACCTACCTTACTGGGTTGTTGTGAGGATCAAAAGAGATAATATATGTAAAGCACTTTGCAAACCTTGAAACACTATCTAAACGATAGCTATTATTTTTGTTATCATCATTATCAACATCATCATTAATTATGCATTTGGGAAGGATTCAGAAACCATCCCCTCCAACATCCTTACCCATTATAGGAGTATTGGCTAAAATGTCATGAACAAATACCTATTGCCTCCCTATTTCTTCTAAGACAAAAATATAAAATCCTCAACCTGGAATTTAAAGTCTTCTACGATTTGGCTCCCACTTTTCCCTTTTTATTTCACATTATCTTTCTCACACTGTCTAGTCTAGTTCAATTGTCCTGCTAGATACTCTCATCTATGGTATTGTACCTCCACATTCTTATTTTTATTATCATCTTTTGTTTTTATCTTCATTTCTGGATACCTCCCTCCCCCTCCCTTGTTTGCCAGGCTATCCCTTGCATCAAAGATTAAAAAGGAAAAAAAAAATGAACAATCCCAACAAACATAATAATATGTATATGCAATAGTCCACATAAGCAAGGATGGTATATTTTACCAATACCTATCTAGGATCGTTTTACTATTATAATTATGCAACATTCTTGCTTCATTTTTTCCTTCTGTTTACATTGTAGTCATTGTATTTTCCTGGAGGCAGGTGCAACAGATAGAGCTCTGGGCCTGGACTCAGAAAGCCCTGAGTTCAAATCCAACTTCTGATACTTCTTAGCTGTGTAACCCTGGGCAAGTCACATCGCTTGTTTGCCTCAGTTTCCTCAGTTGTAAAAAGAGGATAATAATATCACCTACCTCCCAGGATTGTTGTGAGGATCAAATGAGATAGTATTCGTAAAGTGCTTAGCACAGTGCCTGGCACATATTTTACTCTCATCAGTATATATGTCTTCCCATATTTCTCTGTAGTTTTCACATTTGTTGCTTCTTATTTCATGTAATATTATATTACATTTACATACCAGAATTTCTTTAGTCATTGCCTAATTGATCACTCTATGCCTTTTAGAGGTGGTTTCCTTTTCCTAGAATGCACACCCTCCTTACCACCTGCTCTTAGAATTTCTAGCTTTCTTCAAAGCGCAGCTCAGGCCTAGCATCTGTGTTTAACCTCTCAGTTACACTGTCTCCTTCTTGAAGTTATTTTCCATGTACTTCGTATTTATATACATGTAATCTCTACTTCCTCCCACCTAATAGAATGTAAATTCCTTGAGGAAGGCCACTGTTTTGTTTTGTTTTGTTTTTAGTTTTTTAAATTTTGTTTCCCTAATGCCTAGAATAGCGCCTTGAACATTTTTTGGTACAGATTTGTGATTTCGTTGGTGTAAGAAACTCCCTACGAGGAAACTTCCCCATCAAAGCAAATAATTCTTTAGCTTATTATTATAAAGCATTGCCTATAGAACTGAGACATTAAGTGACTCATTTAACTCAGAGTCCTCACGTAGCTAGTATATTTGTCAGAGACGGGACTTGAACCCAGGTTTTTTTCTGACTCCTAGGCCAGTCTTGTCTCTTCCATGCCATACTACCTTTTTTTTCTTGTACATAATCTGTGATTAAATAAATATTTGCTAAATTGATTCTAATTGAATAAAATTGAGCTGGCAGCAGTAACCATGATGGGTAAACCATTGGACATAGTCACGAAGAGGCTGGAGGACTGCTTGGTTGGGGATGTCAGGGATGTTAAGATCACTGGGGATGTTGGGGATGTTAAGTATAAAAGTGCCACAGCCTATAATCAAAAGCAACTGATGACCTTTGTTCCCTCTTACTTCCAGCTGGTGCATCAGTGACGACACCATTATGAGCAGCATGAATGTTGGGGCCTCAGTCATTGAAGTCTTCTTGTGTTTTTGGGGATTTTATTTGTCTCCAAGGAGCACTGGATGGAAGGATTTGTTGCAGCATTTTGGAGTTTGCTGTGTGGTTGGTTTCATCTCAACTGTGTTCTTATATCTTGGCTTGTATTGGTTCCTGGCATCCTCAGCAATCTTCTTCCTTCCTTTCTGGATTATTATGTCAATCCTACTGTGTTGGTCCAAGCATATACGCTGCTTTGCTATTCTCTTCTTTCTCTCTTGTGGACTACGTGAAGGCAGAAATGCTCTGATTGCTGCTGGAACAGGGATCGTGACGTTTGGCCACGTGAAAAATATCTTCCATAACCTGAAAGGTCTGCTGGAAGGCATAACCTGCAACCTCAGTATCAAATGCTTTGCTATCCATTTCCCTCTCTTAAACAAATACATTGAAGCTATTCAATGGCTTTATAGTCTTGTCACAGATATCAGTCTGTTTGAAGAGATTGTCTCTTGGAATCACACTTTGGCCATGTCTATTCTAAGTCCCAGCAAAGCCTTTGAGATTAGGCTAAACGACACCAAACGAGAAATCCTGAGTGTGATAGATCATGTCACCACTGTCACAGAGGTGGTGTCTTCTCTGGGTCAAGGGCTATTGACTGTCACTGGGTTTGCTCTAGTCTTACTCAGCACGGGATTCTTCATGAAACGCTTCTTGGGTTCTCATAACCGTAGATTTGAAAACATCTACATCACCAGGCATTTCATTAAGTTTGATGAAAGTGAGAGGCATCACAAAAGGCCCTGTGTCCTTCCACTTAGTAAGCAGGAAAGAGAAAAATACATCATTATTCCTTCCATCTGCTTGGCTCCTAATGAGAAGAGAAGACTTGGACTGTTTTTCCTCCCCATATTGACTAATCTCTATGTCTGGGCCATGTTTGCAGCCATGGATTATGGGCTGTATCAGCTCCTTTCTTCAGTAAACAAACATCTCCAAAACTTGCCAGGAATGGAGGTTCACTTGAAACTGTACAATGAGGTAAGTGAGGATCGTAGGATCATAGATTCAGAACTGAAAGGGGGGTCAGCTAGGTGGCACAGTGGATAGAGCTCCAGCCTTGGAGTCAGGAAGACTTGAGTTCAAATGGGGCCTCAGACACTTGATACTTACTAGCTGTGTGACCCTGAGCAAGTCACTTAACCCCGATTGCCTCAGCAAAATAAAAAAAAGAACTGGAAGGGGCCTCCGAGCTCATCTAGTCCAACCATTTTATTTTACAGGTGAGGAAACTGAAGAGAAGGGAAAAAAAAACAGATAGAAGAGAGGCAAGATTTGAATCCAGGTCCTCAGACCCTAGGCCTAATGTGCTTTCCGCTAAATTACATTTTTACTGCTTTGGACCCAGAGATATAGAGAGATGATAGGAAATGAGAATACAAGGACTCAGGTTTTAAGCTAGCTTTGTGTGACTTTAGACCAGTCACAGCTCCTTTAAATTAGTTTCCTTTAAACACACACACACACGCACACACACACACACACACACACACACACATACATTTTTATTAAAACAAACAAATAAACAAGTTCTCAAGTTAAGTCCTTCCAGGGCTTCAGATGATAATTGTACCTACTATTATAAGAAGGAATTCTAACGAACAGATTCATATTAATGGTAATAACACATCTGTATAGGATATAGTAATAATTATAGCTTAACATTCATACAGTGTTTTAAGGTTTGCTAAATGCTTTAAAAATGTTATCTCATTTTATCTTTACACAACGTTGAGAAGTAGATGCTGTTATTATCCCCATTTTGTAGATAAAGAAGCTAAGGCTGAGGAAGGTTAAGGGTGCATGCCTAGAACGTACTCTTTTACCTCTGCCTTACTTTTCTTCCCTTAAGACATGACTTGAGAATCATCTTCTGCATGCAGACTTGCCTGATTCTTCAATCACTAGAGTTCTCCTTCCTAAACAACCTTGCATTTAACTACTCTGTATATATTTGAGTTAATTCACTTTGTATTTATGCTGCATATATATTTCATAGGTCCTTGTTATCTTCCCTATCTGAATAGTGAGTAGAGATTATTTCATTCTTTGTACTTATATGTCCAGTGTAGGTAGTAGTAGCTTAATAAACACTTCTTGACTGATTGATCAGTGTTCATTTTACAGGTAAGGGAACTCAGGCTGAGAGTTTAAGTGACTTGCCTATGATCACACAGTTAGTAGTTTACAGTTTGTAGGTAAAGTGGTCAGGAATAATAAACAATAACTCTTTTGGGGGCATGTCAGTTAACCTCTCTGTGCCTCAGTTTCCTCATCTGTAAAATGAAATGATTGAACAAAGTGGCCCCTGAAACCTCTTGCAACTCTAGGTTTATAATCCTGTGATCTCAAAGGAGGAAGCTTAGATGAAGTAAGGAGAAGTTTGTGCCAAGGCCCCTCCAAATCAAATCTGTAATTCTGGGATCAGTTTGGAAGCAGGTTATCTTTCACTTTTCAAACAGCAGCTGAAATTTTCCTTTTGGATAGCGTTTGACTTCTGAGTTGTAATTAGAGGCAATATAGTATATTGGAGAAAACGCTGGATTTGGAGTTAGAGAAGTCGGGTTCAAATCCCATGGCAGAAAATGTTCTATTGCTACTATTACTATTATGCTACTTCATCAGTTGCCTTTGCTTTGAACTCAATGTACCTTCTGGCTCTTTAGTAAAAGTACACATAAAGCTGAGAATTCATGAGCTATGGTTTGCAGAACCACAGAGTACTTTAAACCTAGGAGTAGATTTTTGGGACCCTACATGGGAGAGGGAAATTCCATGTGGTTTCTTTGGAGAGAGGATCCATTAAACCCATGTGAGTAGGAAGGAGAAAGAAGGAAAAGAAAGGAGAAATAGAAAGGAAAAAGAAAGGAAGAAAGAAAGAAAGAAAGAAAGAAAGAAAGAAAGAAAGAAAGAAAAAGAAAGAAAGAAAGAAAGAAGAAAGAAGAAGAAAGAGAAGAGAAGAGAAGAGAAGAGAAGAGAAGAGAAGAAAGAGAAAAGAAAGGAAAGAAAAGAAAGAGAAAGAAAGAAAGAAAAGTAAGTAAAGAAAAGAAAGAAAGAAAGAAAGAAAGAAAGAAAGAAAGAAAGAAAGAAAGAAAGGAGGAAGGAAGGAAGAAGGGAGGAAAGGAGGAAGGAAAGGGAGAGGAAACAAAATTAAAAGAGGAGAGGGAGATAGAAGTAGAATATGTAAGACAGGAGTCTTGTTTTTGCCAGACCAAATACAATTATTTTAAATTCTTTTGAATTTTTATTTTGTTGGTTACAAGTTGAAACAGAGGCTCTGTTATTCCTGCAGCTTCCTCTAAGAACCTGGAGCCCTGGGGTGCCTTATAATTAACTAATTCCTTGGGCCTGGGAAAGGGGGTGGGGTAGTGTTCGGTGTAATCAGCTTGAAAAAGCTAAATAAATGAGAGAACAAGCAAAATGTACCTGCTGAGCAGCAAGGAATGAATCTGAGAGGACAGACTATTTGAATTTAAGCAAGAATCTAATGCTCTTTAAAATGCTTGCTATGCAGCATATAAATACAGATACTAACCTACGTGATAGAATTGAAAATCAGAGATAAAGTACCATTTCCATTATTCTCTCTGACATTTTTCAGTCTATGACCAGATTCATTTATTGTTTGCTAAATTAATGAAATTCAGGAATGTTTATGAACCCAGTGATGTTTTCCATTGGTGGTTAATGTTTTCCTTACCCCCAAAGTACATAGAAACTCTCTCTCTCTCTCTCTCTCTCTCTCTCTCTCTCTCTCTCTCTCCCCTCTCCTCTCTCTCTGTCACACACACATACACACACACACACACACACACACATACACACACACACACACACACACACACACACACACACACACACACACACACACACACACACACAGAGTCCCATGGATACAGAAAGAAAATAAAAAAGGCAGGAGCTCAAAGCCTAAAGGCTTTTCAAGACTTCAATGCAAGGAGGAGTGAGAAGACAAGGCATTATAAAGCAGGCCAGAGGATAAACAAGACAGGACAGGGAATGATATGGAGTGACAACGAGGGGGCAGGGAATGGAAATAATTGGGAAACGGGACATTTCCCAATGGGGCAGCAAGACAGAGCTTGTTAAAGTTATTTTTATTTTGCCTTTGGATTCTTGATAAGTGCTAAATGTCTGAATCTATTATTTGAGTGGTTTGTTCACTATGGTCTATGGGAGCAGGTCCCCTTAGATTTTTCAAGCATGTTGGTTGGCTAAAAACAATTAACAGGATCATAGGCTGAAAGTTGGAAAAAAAAAACCTCAGAGGTCATCTAGTTCAACCTCCCTCATTTTACAGACTAGAAAATGGAGGTCCCAATAGAGAAAGTGACTTGCCCAAGGACACCACGCTAATGACACCATCCACACTACTCTTTTGAAAGATGAAACGTCCCAGGTCTGTGGGATGGATTGAAGTGGAGACAGATCCGAGTCAGTGAGACAAGCTAGAAGCCTGCCCCATTGGCCCAAGAGAAAAACGGTGGTCTAAACTAGGGCAGTGATGGAGGAAGATTTGACAAATCATTCTGCCTTCCTGAAAGAGTTAAATACAAAAATGTTTACTCACTGCATTTATAACATAGCTTCCCAACCCTGAAATCCCTGCTTAGATGCCTTGATGAAATGCCTACTGCACCACCACAAAATTGGCCACATGCTGGTTTGTTACTGCAGGATTTCTCATCAGCCATTAAGTCAGAGTGTTTGGGCGATTTCAATAGTAGGAAAGAATGGGCTCATTTGCTCAGGAGAACTAAACTTACCTATTTAGTTGCAGAGGTTCGTTTTTAATTTGTTAGATAGGGACAGGGCCCTGAAATTGTTTCCCTTGTTATCTTCCCCAGACAACAGGTTAGTAATCCTCTCTACCACATTTCTATGGTCCTGCAGTGTCTCCATTATGTCTAAACATGGGGAAGGAGAATAAGTTGATCCCTGAGTATGATCGGGATAGCGCTCTAGTTCTGTAGCCACAAGAATGTTGGGGTGCTGGGATAATATTACAGGACCTCACTAAATATTGCACTACGCTGAGATTAATTCTCAAGCCCCAAGGTACCTCATTTAAACTAGAATATGTTATTCATGGGTAGGATCTGGTCTGTTAATTCCTGTTTTCCAAATGAGAAAACTAATCCACAGAGAGATTAAATGACTTTCCTAGGTCAGGGGAAAAAGCTGAATCAACAAACCTGACTATCCTTATTGGCTTCATTACATGACTATCAATGTCAATTCCTTTATTCTGGGCCACTCTTAAGCAGTTCACATTGACCTTGGGATGGTACCTGTTTCATCCATTTTTTTTTTTTTGCTTCAATCAGGAAGGCAAATATTCCTAACCCAGAATACACTCTAGAAACAAAATATTATTCTATTTTTAAAGACCTCCAAAAAAATGTGGAAGAAAAGTAGTTTCTGTTGTGGAGCACCTTTGAATGTCTAGCAATAAACGTGGTAGCCTTCTGTGGTCACAGAATGTTGTTTCAGAAGATGTTTTAGTTTCTTATTGTTTATATCAGACTAGAATGCTCCTGTCTGGATGGAAAGTCTGGTTCCCAAGGGAATACATAGAATCTAGCCTCACTTTTTATTGGAATGAGACTTACATGAGAAAAATTTCTTCTTCTTAGATCAAGTTTTTAATTAAACATGAGAAATATGTAAAAGCTAAGAAGGGCAGAACTGTATGAAATTGTAGCATTGAAAAAGAAGAGATACGGATAGCAAAACTTAATAAAACCCTATTTATTGTTATATTTATATAGTGCTTTGAAGTTTTAAAAGTACTAAAAACATAAATATGATATAACATACATGTTATATCTTTTTATCCTCACAGTACCGTAAGGTAGGCACTGTAAGTATTATTAAATCCATTTTACAGATGAGAAAACAGAGCCTCAGAAAGATTAAGTGACTTGCCTGTAGTTAATATTAATTAACAATAAGTGGGATTCAAATCGAGGCCTAACCTAACTCTAAAGTCAGTACTTTCTCCACTAAAACCCTGTTTTGACTTTTTTGACCCTTCATAATGTGGCTTATTTCTTCTTTTCCAGCCTTATTCCCCTCCATATACTCTACAGTCTAGTGGCACTAGACTCCTGTTCCCCCCTACATAATACTTCATTTCCCAACTCTACACATTTTCACTGGTTGTTTCCATGTCTAGAATTCTCCCCCTCCCCCCACATACTTTCTGGTTTCCTTCAACTCTCAGCTAAAGTCTCACCTTCTGCAAAACAGCTTCCAAAGCCCCCTCAATGCCAGTGCTTTCCCTCTGAGATCATCTTCAAATTATCCTGTATATATCTTTTTGTTCATAATTATTTATGAGTTAGCTCCCCCATTAGACTTCAAGCTCCTTGAGAGCAGGGACCGTTTTTGCCTTTCTTTGTAAACCCAGAACTTAGTACAGGGCCTGGCATACAGTAGGTGTTTAATAAAGGCTAACTGATTTAACTTGACTTTGCTTGTGTTTTAGGTGAAAGGAAATCATGACATCATAAGTGACTCTTACTTTAATATATCTCTGTTTGAGCCCAACTGCATCCCCAAACCTGAGCTCTTCATGTCTAAAACATGGATTCCACTAAGTGTCATCATCCTGATGTTGGTGGTACTGGGTCTGCTGTCCTCCATCCTGATGCAATTTAAAATCCTAGTGTCTGGGTCATTCTACCCTGATGTAGAGAGGGACCGCATACAATATCTGCATGCCAAGATCCTCAGGAGAAGATCCAAGCAGCCACTGAGGGAAGGAAAAAAGAAACTCAGGCAGTTTGTTACAGAGGTAAGGAGAAGGGCATAGGGCAAAAGAAGTCCAACAGTACCTGTAATTTAATCTAAGAGTCAGATTATGGCATTTACTAGTGTGTAGTGTAAAAATGACAGTAGCAGACCTTTTTTTTTTTTAGCACTTTGACATTTATATAGCACTTTGAAGTCTGACATTAAATGTTAAAAGAGGTATTCAAAGTCAGGTCATCTTAATTCTAAGAGCAACATATTTCTAGCCCTTGTACCCCAATGATTCCTATCAATGCAGTGCCCCAGGCACACATTAAAACTGTACATGCAAAGGAGGTAAGGTTTATGGCTGCATGCCAGGAAGACCTGCATTCAAGTCCTGTCTCTGACACATACTGACGGTGTGATCCTGGACAAGTCAAGTTGTTGTTGCTTGTCCTTCGTTCTTGAAGAGGGCCATGACATCAGGGAGGAGAAGCCGTGACTTGCAAACCAATTGGATTTGAGTGAGAGAGGGCTGTGCAAGGTCACCAGTCTCACTTTCTCCTCCAAAGCCAACTGGTAAGACATAGATCAGGAGGACTAGAGCTGGCCCTGTAAACTCTGAGTACTCTAGGAAATTGGTAGAGGGAGCTTTATCACCTGGAAGTTCCCTATACCAATGAATTCATGGGTCTAGTTCCTATTCCACAGCAGATAAATCTTTGGGGGCATCATGAATTTGTGCATTAGAAGCCCAGTTATTAGGATTTTGTTTTCTTTTGTTTTAACTCAGAAAACAATTGAGACCCACAAAATGTCTCATTAAAATTTGTTTCAGGGGCAGCAAGGTGGCACAATGGATAGAGCACCGGCCCTGGAGTCAGGAGGGCCTGACTTCAAGTCCAGCCTCCGACCAAACACTTGACACTTACTAGCTGTGTGACCCTGGGCAAGTCACTTAACCCCAATTGCCTTAAAAAAAAATTTGTTTCAAACCTGATTGTTGCCATACTAAAGGGAGGTTTCCTGATTTTTTTTTGAAGGGCCCACTCAATTGTACTCTCTTTGTTCTCCTCTTTTAGTGTTTGTTAACTAAGGAATTAATTAATCGGTGAGCATGCATTAAGTATTTACTATGTGCCAGGTACTGTGCTAGGTGGTGGGGATGCAAAGACAAAAATCCCTCAGGGAGCTTACATTCAGTGGGGGGAAAGCAACTTATGCATGAATAGCACCCTGGTTGGCTGCCTGCCCCCAAGAACACCCTGAGTTTACATGGATCCCAGGCCAATCCTGGAATATGTCTCCAAGGGAGGGGGGAAGGAGGAGTGTCAGAATGTCTTTGGCTTATTATCCCCAGCCTGAATTAAAACTCATGGGAAATCTGACTCAAACTTTGGTATAGCTCCTATCTTCTTGTCGTTGTTGAGTCATTTTAGTAATGTCTGATTCTCCATGACCCTATTTGGGGTTTTCTTGGCAAAGACACTGCAGTGGTTTGCCATTTCCTTCTCTATCTCATTTTCCAGATGAGGAACTGAGGCAAACAGGTTAAGTGACTTGTCCAGCATCCCACAGCTAGTAAGTGTCTGAGGCCAGATTTGAACTCAGAAAGATGAGTCTTCCTGACTCCAGGGCCAATATTCTATCAACTGGGCCATCTAGCTCCCCAAATGTGGATTACAAGTTTCTTACCTCCCATATAGGTACTCATTGTACACTATGGATGTAAGATATAGGCATCTTTATTCACTTACCATGCAAAATGTTATTATTCATTCTTCCTTCTCAAAGAGGACCAATGACATCAGGAGGGTGATGTCCTGATTTGCAAGTGAATTGGATTTAAACGAGGCAGGGCTGTGCAAAGTCATCAACCTCACTTTGTCCTCTAGAGTCATCTGAGTCCAATGGCAAGTTGCAGGTTTGGAAGACTGGAGATGGCCCTAGATGCAGTGGTGGACCTCGGCCTTTTTTAAGCTAAGGTTTTTTTCCAGGTCTTAGTTTGAGGCAACACCCATTCAGTGATTTAAGACTAGGGAAGAATTGAGGCAAAAGATGGCCTAGTTTGCCTGCTCAAAAGAATCAATCTAGGAGGGGAAGATCCTCAGGGTTTCTTACTCTGAGCCATCAAAATCCAGGCAATGAGCAAACAAGGCTTGGGCTGGGACCTATTATTGGCCAATCAGTAAGATCCAGAGTGATTTGGTTTTAAAAGCATAGTCAAGTAACTCCATTTGAATCCCAACAGGCTTTATCAAAGCCTGGTGTTCCAGAGTTCTATTTCAAGAAATCATAAATGAAACTAATGAAACAAAAGAATTAATTGTCACAGTTTTTTTTAAAAGATGGAATAAATAAGTAGGGAAGAAAAAAACATCTAGCCCCCCAAACCCCAAGATATCTTGTGAAGTTTAAGCAATCAAAATTTATATTCCTTTGGACAAAGTACCCACCTGTAAGGGTATGATTCCCCATGTGGACAGAGGGAGAGAAGGAAGGAAGGCAGGCAGGCAGGAAGGAAGGAAGGAAGGAAGAAAGGAAGGAAGGAAGGAAGGAAGGAAGGAAGGAAGGAAGGAAGGAAGGAAGGAAGGAAGGAATAGCAGCATTGCCCAAATGGAACTTCAGTTGGGTTCCCAGTGGGGCAGCTGAGTCATCTGAGTCCAGTGGCAAGACATAGGGCAGGACAACTCTTGCAAAAGGAATAAGATGCTAAGGACTTCCAAGAGTCTATGTACAAATATAGAAGTATAAAGCATTCAAGTAATCTACTAGATTCTTACTTCAGATGGCAAAAACAATTTGTGGGACTGCTGAATAAATGTTTCCCATCCACCTTTCACATGTACTGTCCAAGCAATTCACAGTAATATCATGGAGGATTGAAAAAGCCTATATTTCATGATTCCCACCCTGTGGCTTTAGTCCTTCAGATCCAGGGAAGTCCTCTCCTTTCTCCTAATCACTTGTTGAGGAAGTCTCCCTCTTGAAGGCCAATGACTGACTCTAGACCTCAGAAATTTTAATGTGACAGGGAATCTAGAATATTGGATCTCTACAACTCAGAATTATTCACAATGTAACCCCCCCAAATTGTAAACATCCATTCTTAGGACTGATAGTCTTTGACCTTCACTCAGAAAAGGAAACAAAAAGGCAGAAGGCAATCGGGGGTGGAGGTCGATGAACTAACCATCATGTGCTTCTTCTGTAAGCTGAAACCCTGGAGGTAGAAGGGAAGAAAGATTTAGAAATCTTCCTTGCTGTACTGCTGTCTGGAAGTCAAAGGGAGAAAAAAATTCCTCCATATAAAGGAATTATTTTTTAAATTATTTTTGAATATACAAATATCTATTTTCTTTCCTTTCCATGCCACCCCTCCCCCCCAAAAAAAAAGCAAATGAAACTTGTAACAAGTATGCAAAGTCAAGCAAAACAAATTCCTGCATTGGCTATGTCTAAAATTTGTGTGTCTTATTCTTTACACTGAGTCCATCCCTCTGTATCAGAAGGTAGGCAGGATATCAGGCAGTCAACAGCTATTTATTAAGTGCTTACTTTGTGTTAGATAATGTATGAAGCCCTGGGGATAAAAATACAAGCAAAAAAGTAACCTCAAGGAGCTTATATTCTAATGAGAGAGTACAAACACAAAAGGAAGCTGAAAAGGGGGGTGAGGGAGGAAAGTAAGATGTTAGTAGGCTTGGTCATGACAGAGAATTCTGGAGGATTTCAGGTTGGTAAGAAACGAAGAGATTTGTGGCCTGGGTGCCCTGCTTAAATGGAGGTTCTAAGAGGAGCCATGGAATCACAGAAAAAAGCCACAAGGGTGGAGGGTAGACATGTGAATTCCAGGGCTGAAGTGATCTTTCAGGATGAAGAGGTTACTGGGGTATGGTGGACAAGTACAGAGGAGTGTAATACCCAGAAGGGAACAAGATGTAAGAGGACTGGAAATGTAGGAAGGAACCAGGCAAGCCTCAGTTTCATCATCTGTCAAATGAGGTTGGATTTGATCATTCAGCTATGATATTCTGATTCCATTCCATCTGTCTCCTCGTACAAATTGCCCCCTCTGTCATTCCCACTCTTTCATTTAATTTCAATCTCTCCCTCTCTTCTGGCTCCTTTCCTACTGCCTACAAACAGGGCCGTGTTTCCCCCATCCTGAAAAAATCCCCACTTGATCCTTCCACCCCCATTATCATCTTCTATTTCTTCTACCCATTGTAGCTAAACTCAAAAAGACAGTCTATAATAGGTGCCTTCACTTTCTCACCTCTCCCTCTCTTCTTAACCTCATACTATCTAGCTTCTGACCTTATAAATCCACCAAAACTGCTCTCTCCAAAGTTGCTAATGATTTCTTATTTGCCAGATCCAATGACCTTTTCTTTATCCTCATTCTCCTTGACTTCTCTGTGGCCTTTGACACTGTTGATCACTCTGTCACCCTTGACACTCTCTTGCCTAGGTTTGGGGAACCACTATCTCCTGGGTTTATTTTTTTCCCCATCTTATCTTGCTTCTGTCTTTACTGGCTCTTCCTCCAGATCATGCCCTCTAACCACAGTTGTCCCACAGTGTTCTGTCCAGGGACCTTTTTTCTTCTTTCCCTGTTCAGTACTACTTTTTCACTTTGATGATCTCATCAATTCCTAGGGATTTAATTACCATCTCTACACTAATGATTCTTTTATCTACCTACCCTGACTCATTCTCCCTCAGACCTCCAATCTCACATCTTCAACTGCCTCAGACTAAATCTCCAGTAGACATCTTAAACTCAATATCTCCAAAGCAGAATTCATTATCATCTCCCCTTCCCCTACATTCATAACACCATCCTCCTAGTCCTTCAGGCTCAAAACCTAGTAGTCATCCTGGATTCCCTACTATCTCTTATCCCCCATAACCAAGGCCTGTCAATTTCACTCTCCAATACACCTCCTTCTCTCTCTTACAGTGCCACTATTCTAGTGCAGGCTTTCAACACCTCACTCCTGGATTACTGCAAAAGACTGCTGGTTATAAAAGACTTCCTGGCTCATGACTCTTACCACTCCAATCCATCCTCCATTCAGTCACAAAAGACTTTCCTAAAGCACAGACATCATGTCACACACACACACACACACACACACACACACACACACACATTCCACCACATTCCACCCCTCTTACCCTCACCACCCCCAATCACACTCAATAAACTCCAGTGGCTTCTTCTTGGTTTCAGGATCAAATACAAAGTGATCTGTTTGGCATTCATAACCTAGCCCTCTCCTCCTTTCTGGTCTTACACCTTACCCCCTGGACATGTACTTTCAATTCAGTGACACTGGCCTCTTGGCTGTTCCAGGAACAAGAGACTCCATCTCTATTGGCTCTGGGCATTTTGTCTGACTGTATCCCTTGGCTGGAATGCTCTTCCTACTCCACTCTGACTACTGACTTCCCTGGCTTCCTTTAAATTCCCACCTTCCACAGGAAGCCTTCCCCAACCCTTCTTAATTCCAGTGCCTTCCCTCTGTTAATCATTTCCTATTTATCCTCTATGTGACTGATTTGTATACATTTGTTTGCATGTTATCTGCCCCAATAGATTGTAAGCTCCTTGAGGACAAGGACTGTCTTCTCCCTCTTTTTATATCTCCAGCACTTAGCACAGTGCTTGGCACACAGCAGAGACTTAGTAAATGTTTATTGATTGATCCTGTGAGAATAGAAACTGTGCTACTTTCATAGGAGAAGCTGTACCCTGATAGGATATACCAGAGTACATCTTCTGAGCCTTAGTTAATAAATCATTAGGAGGCAATTCCAGTCCACAAAACTCAATCAGTAAGGTGTCAATGCATGAGTCCACCTTCAGGAGGGGCATCATTTGGTTGTGTTTGCTTTAGGAACACCTGTTCCGTTCCCTTCACCTTTTCCACAAATGTAAGTTCACTGAGGGCAGAGGCTACTTAAACAAACAAATAAATAAATCTTTGTGTTCTTAGCACCTCCCACAATGCCTTGTACTAAGTTGAAAATTTAATAAATGTTTGTAGAATTAAATTGAATTGTCCTGTACTGACCCTTTCCCTCCCAAGAAGGAAAGGAAGAGCCTTCAAAGATTCCTTATAGGTTCGTGGACTGTGTGCAATAAGTAGCTAACACAAATATCTGGTGTTTGAGGCGAATTTGATTCCAATTTGCCTTTCCCATCTTTTTCAGCTACATTTCTGGTTTCCTGTCCTGAGAATGTTTGGGGAGGGCACAGCATCCCCTGCAAATGAAAACAATCCTTGAAAAATTCCAGGCAGCTCTTCAGCTAAATATATCTCAGCAGCTCCTCTCAGATTTATGGATGGTTGGCACATGTCACGGTTCATTCCCAACTGTATGGAAATGTGACATTTACTTTCATTTTATAGGCTTAGAATTTTCAGGGCCAGCACTCAAGAACTCTAGAGGCTGCTTATTTCCTTCAGGGTACCTATTATGTGCAATTAGCCTGGACTGTCACTGGTTTGGCAGAAGGGAGAGGGTCAAGCGGAGGAGGAGTTTCATTGTAACTTTGTAATGAGGAGCATGGTGATGTGGAGAAAAGGAAATAAGCATTTATATGGCACCTACCATGTATCAGGTACTGTGCTAAGCCTTTTATGAATATTATCTTATTTAATCTTCTTACAACAGCCTGAAAGGTAGGACTGTTGTTATTACTATCATTTTATAGTTGAGGAAACTGAAGCAGGTTAAGTGATTTGTCTAGTTTACACAGTTAAGTATCTGAGGATGGATTTGAAAGCATCCTGCCTACAGGCTAAATGCTCCATCCACTGTGCCACCTAGCTACTTGGTGGACTCCAAGCTGGACTTGTAATCAGGAGAAAATTGGGTCTAAATCCTGCCTTTGACATCTACTGAGTGGCTATCAGAAAGTTACTTTGCCTCAGTTTTCTCATCTGCAAAATAGACAATATTGGGTGACACAGTGGATAAAGCACTGGCCTTGCAATCAGGAAGACTCAACTTCATGAGTTCAAATCTAGCCTGAGATGCTTACTAGCTGTGTGACTCTGGGCAAGTCATCTAACTCTGCCTCAATTTCTATTTGTAAAATGAACTAGAGAAGGAAATGGCAACCTACTCCAGTGTCTTTGCCAAGAAAACCTCAAAATGAGATCATGGAGAATCGGACATGATTGAACAACAACCTAACTCCCAGGGTTGTTCTGAGGATCAAATAAAATAGTATGTATGTAAAACACTTTTTAAACATTCAGCACTAAAAATAAATGACAGGTATCATTATTAATAATGTAGTCTGTGGTATTAATAGTAAGGCATTTGATTTGAGTCAAAGTTTTGGATTAAAGCACATGACTTGTTCTAATTCTGGACATATAACCAAGGCGTAGCTGTTTTTCTGGTGCCAAAGAGGAAATAATTCATTTAACACAAACTTGTAAAAGTGACAGTAGATGTCCCAGGAGGCAAATGGCCAGAAAAACGTTATATTTGAGAGTCTCTTTTAAAGCAGAGAGAGTGAAATTTTTCACTTGCTAAATGCTTCCAATCTAACAACAGATAAGTTGCCCACTGCCCCCAAGTGTTAGAGCTCCTATTCTCCACAAAAGATCTTCCACTTATTTAACTGTGTGAAAGTGGTTTCCTACCCTGTAGAATGTAAACCCCTTGAGGGCAAGGACTGCTTTTCATCTTTTTATCCTCAGCCTTGCACATAGTAGGAGATGAAGAAACCTGCAAACTCAGTGAATGAGTGAGTGAGTGAGTTTGTATATCTACAGAACCTGAGATGAAGATTTAGTGACCTCCCTTCCCCTAGAAACATCACCTCCTGGCTTAGCATAATGGGAACCTGCCAAGGCTGTTTGCATAAGAGCCCAAAGCTATAGCAAGCCATATGTTCATATTCCAATGTTTTTAGTCCCATTCATGACAACAAAAGAGCACATAAGACATGTGGGAATTAAAATAATGACTGACATTTATGGGGTGTTCCAAGGTTTGCAAGACTACTTTACACATGTAATAAAATAGGGGTCTGAGCGAAATGAGTGGGTCTGCATATCCACCAGACCTGCATTACACTTAATTTCATTTGATTCTTCCAACAATCTTGAGAACTAAGTGCTATAGAGGCAGCTGGTAGGGTGAGGAGGGAAGAGGTTCTGGTTCTGGAATCGAATAACTCAGGTCTGAATCTTTTCTCTGTCTGCCATTTGCTGCCTGTCTGACCTTGGAAAAGGGACAACTTCGCATCTCAGTTTCTTTATCTGTAAGGCTTTTGGACTCTTTGATATATGAGTGCTGAAATCCTTTCCAACTCTATGTCAATGATCGTATGACTTGACAGATAAGGAAACTGAAGATTTTAGATTTTTTAGCTGATTTAGAGTTTTAGCTGATTTACCCAGGGCCACAAGGTTACTAAGTTTCTGAGGCATAATTTGAACCCAGGTCTTCCTGACTCCAAGTTTAATACTTACTCTACTATACCACACAACCTCCTGAAAAGGGGAGTATGGTCTGTGCAACCTAGGTCAGTCAATAATTTTAATTATCTTGTACTTTAATGTGTTTTCAAAGAAATAAACTTGTAATAAATAATAAAGGAAAATTGCTAATAAAGGAAAATTGTGGAAAATTGTTTGCATTTACCTTTTTGATTGAACATTACACACACCAAGGTGGAGGTGGGGGTGGTAATTCTCTGCCTATGAGAAATGATTAGTCATTTTTAATTTACATTGATTTTTTTTTAGGTTTGTCAGTATATCATAGGACCATAGATTTGAAATGGGATGTTTCATTTTATGCCATCTAGTCCCACCTGTACATTTTACAGATGAGTACACTAATGTCCAAGGACACCCAAGCATTAGGTAACAATCCAAGTCCCAAGCAGGGATCCTAACTTTGCTACTTACCACCTTTATAACATTACCATTCTGATCCACAGTTTCCTTATCTATAAAATGAATGAATTGGACTAGATGATCTCTAAGGTTAATTTACCTCTTAACACTATGGATCCATTAAATCCAATGAATAGCAATTTCTAGAGGCAACATGGTGTAGTAGACAGGGAGCTGGGCTTAGAATCTGCAAGACCAGCGTTAAAATCTGGCACTTACTATGCAACTCCATGCAAGTTATCTATCCTCTTTGACCTTCAAGTACCTCCACAGAACTTCTATATTAAGTCACAAATGGTTTACTAACTTTGTATATCACTTGCAACTTCTAAGAACCCTCAAGCAGTCTGCCTCTTTCATCATCCCCATTCTCTTTCTAACCTTCAATATCTCTTTATCCACTGTCTTTTTCCATGCTGCCCACAAAGATGCCCAGATCTCCCTCATATGTTAAAAAAAAAAGCTTTCACTTGACCCCTTGTGGTCCTTTGGTGTCCCATTTCCCAGGTTCTAGATAATTTGGAGGGCAGAATCTTCCAGACCTTAGCTCCCATCAAAGTGTTTTGCTTTTCACTAGTGAGCCAGGTGATATACTCAGTTGATAACAAAAGCAGGCATAACTCCAATTCTAGCACTTTATCTGCTGTATCAACTCACAAGAATTTTATATGGGATATCTCCACATGGAGATAAAGCAAGTGTTTCCATATGAAGACATGCACAAATAGGGGGCATATGTGACAAGGTCACATGCACAGAGAATTTTCAAAAGCTTGCATCGTCTTTAACTGATTGAACTGACCTGTCAGCTTATTTCCTCACAATGCATTGCTTTCTATTTCAGGAATTGCTGTCCCTTGCTCTCTGTCAACAATGGCTCTCTTCTGCTTTCTACCTAGATTTGTTTTCTGCTGCTCCCACCAGACATTGCTCCCTGTCTAGCTGTTAATCAACTCTAATTCCCTACTCTATGAACTTTTTTTTTTCTGGCTGAATTCCCACCCACCCACTGTGCCTGGAATTCTCATCCTCATTCCCTTTCCTGGCCTCCCCAGCTTTCTTCAAGTCCCATCTGAGTTCTCACCCTCTACAGGAAGTCTATATCAATTGTCCTTAATTCAATTGCATTTCCTCCGTTGATTATCTATGTATTTATCTACCTAAACACACACACACACACACACACACACACACACACGTGTGTGTGTGCGCGTATATGTGTAAACATACATACATCTATCTATATCTAGCTATCTAAATACACATGTTTATATGTAAATATGTACACCTATATTGATCTAAATACACATGTGATATATATACATCTCTATATAAACATGTATATATCTGAAAATATGTATTTATATATATTAGATGTATATATGTACACATCTCTATCTGCACTGTATATACTTATTTGCACATTGTTTCCCCCTTTAGAGTATGAACTCTTCAAGAGCAGAAACTGTCTTTTACCTTCCTTGAACCACCAATGCTTAACACAGTGCTCAGCAAATAGTGGATGTTTAACAATTCTTATTGACTTGACTTTTCAGGATTGTGTAAAATTCTTTACAACAGCTACTAGGGAGGCCAGGTTACAATTCTTTTTACCAGCTTTTAAAAGATACATCTCTCTTCCATTGTGTGGCAGGTGAAAGATGAAATGACTTGAGGTCATTTTTAGGATGACTGGTCCTAAAGTTCAATCTTCAAAGCTTATTAATTTATTAAAGCAATGCATGCCAATTGCCCAACAAACTGAGACCAGACCTCCTCAGCTTAGAGTTGGCCCCCAAATACTGGGGGAGACAGATCTTTATACATTAAATACAATTAATCAATTAAGGCCAATTAATTAAAAGGAAACAATACAACATTAGGTAATCTGATTTCTAGTTGGATGAAAGATTAGGGACTTTTCAATTTGGGAGGAGGAGAGCAAACAGGTGCAATTCTCTGAATTCAGAAATGGAGGTGGCCCACTCCCCCAAGTATCTGTAAACAATCAAAGGAGCATGGAAACAATAACTGATTCATCACTATGAGGCCAGTTTTCAGATAAGACATATGGATTGCTTAAGCTATACAATTGTAAGAAAACTCATTGCATCAATCTTTGGGTCTGATTAGGTTTCTGCTCAGTATAACTTAGGTCCTTAGTTTAAGGGTCTCTAAACCACAGATAGAGGTGTTCCAGTTTCCCAGCTACGTAAGGCTAGGTTCAACAATGAAATAAGGTTTTTTCCTAGTTCCCATAATTGAATAAAGCTTCTCACATTCTCTCATTGAACTAGACCTATAATTGAATAGAAATGGAACTGAGTTAGCTCCAGAATTGAGTCACAAGATGGAGGCAGTGTGGTTCACTCAATTCCCACAATAAACCCCTTACTGTCTTAAACCCCTCAGTTTCCTCAATTTTCCTCAATTGGTAGGGTGGGAAGGTATATTGTGATTAATTCTAGAACAGATGGGCACATCAATTGACAAAAACATTTTTTACTTTGAAATAAAAACATCCATCCTACTATCACTATTTTCTATATAGATTTAAAAAATGTACTACATCAATGAATGCAGCTTGATCCTTTGAGGTATTCTAAATCCTGTTGTTTCTAGCCTCTTCTGTCTTTCCTGTCCACTTTTCCATTAGTTAAACCATAGCTGAGGTGAGCTACCTGTAACTCTGCATTGAGTGAAGGGTTGTTCTCATTGACTGAGAAATCCCATGGCTCTTCTCAAGCAAGCATTGTCATCCAATAACTATGAAACTTTATGTAGTCTATATAGTTTTCTTAGCCAATTGCAATGACATGCTATACCAAGAAATATGGTTAGTTTTTTAAGCCTTGGGATATAGATCTCAACCTAACTTTCCAACCTGATTGCTATTACTCCCTCTTCTGCATTTGGTGATCCATTCAAACAAGGCTTTTTGCTGTTTCTCAGTCATGATATTCTATCTCTCTTCTCGTTGCCTTTCTCCCTCCTTACCTCTGCCTCAGAGTCCCTCTTTTCCTATAAAATGCCATGCAGGCATCATCTTTTGCATTAAGGCTTTACTGTC